CCACAAGCCCCATGAACTTTGCACCTTTTGCTCTGGGAAGCTGAAGCCCAACGGAAACGCGAAGCTGAACCTGGGTCCCGCTTTGCTAGTACTACCATGAATGCTGCAGACTAGAGCAAGCACCACAGAACTACTTCTGTAACCTCCGAACCCTGAACCCAACAACCCCAAACGCCATAAAGCCTATAACGTACGTATATAGGGTTTCCCCAAAATTAGGGGTACCCGGCCCTTTTAGGGGTCAGGAGTATAGTATTTTGGGGTCTATGTCAGGGCCCCCTACAGTAGTTATGGAAACCACGCTATAACACAGTCCTTCTCGAGGATGCCCATCTCCCTCAAAGTGTCCGCAATTGCCTGCGCATCCTCAGCTCTCGCATCTTCAAAAAGCGTGACCGAGCACAAATGGGACGGATAGGGGTTATATAGGGATATTGCCCCCAGTGATGGAGAATCAAATGGAAAAGAAAATGGGAAATGAAATGGAAACTAGGTCTATAGGGGTATAGAAGGACCATGGCATCCCCAATTGCACAACTTACCCCAATCTTCTCCCTAATTTCGTAGTCTAGTGTTACTATCAGCCGGCATCTTACGTTGAGGGTTTCAGCTTGAGAGTTGGTGAGTCTAATCCCCGTACCCGGATAAGAAATGCCGTCCCAACCTTACCTCAACAATGAAAGCTCCCTAGGTCCAAATGAGGGATACTCCCCGCACGTTTGATTTGAAGATCACATGATTTAGGATCTGATCTCCAACCCCCAAACTATGCTGAAATGAAGCACTTGGCGTCTTATAACAGACCGCAAGGATCTAAGACCCCGCTCACACCCCCGAATTGCTGGGTCGACGTATTCATTGAAAATCACGAGGGAGGTTGGGGCAGGGCTTATGGCTTATGGCTGTGGAAAGTTATTCAAGGAGGACATGAAGGATTTTCAACGTTGTGCTATGCAATGGCCAGGCTGAATCTGTTCAATCTGGCCTGTCTGTCTTGAGCTGAACGGCTGTGCGGAAAGTTTGGAGGTAAGATTTGGAAAGCAAGGTCCAAAGTACCATCAACATTCAATTGCATTTGCAACCGGCAGACAACATGTGAGATCTTGCGGGGCTGCAGAATACTGGGAATCAAAGACACTGAACCCGGAACCTCGAATCTCAACCCCAGACCTTATTGTCCCCCTTAAGTAGATAGAATATGGGGTATAGGGGGATCTTATTATAATATACCCAAAGCCATATTCTATCAACTTAACGGGGGCCCAAAGTAACAAGCCGCGTGTCCGTCAGCTCGAGGAATTCAGTCGTCTCACCACCCGACCGCCGCCGGGCCTTGTCGGCGGGAACCTTCCTTGGCTCTGTTGTCCCTTGGACTCCCCTAGGGTCATATTGGGGTTATATGGAGATAACGAAAATAAAATGGAAGCTGCTGTACTAAAGTGTGTATATATAGGGATTATAGGGTTATGTTGGGGTTATATGCAGATGAGAGAAAAAGAAAATGGAAACTACTATGATGGGTCATATAGGGTTTAGGGTGTAGGGCTCAGGTTTGGGGTTACCATGGTATGTGGTGGTTGCTGGCTTGAAGCTCTAAGAGTCTAGGGTGAAAGCACTAGGCTCCCTAAAGTAGCAACATGGAAGCCCGCACTCTTGGATTGCAATGATCTAAGGCTTGGCGGAGCAGGGAACATAGGGTTCCTGGCTTAGGGAGGCTTTGGGGTTGCAGGGTTGGTTGGCCACTGCTTGTTGCTTGCAGTCTTCCTGCCAGGTTGCTGACCAAGCTCCTCGGCATCCAGGATACTTGGCTGTTTCAAACCGGGCGGAAACTGTTTGCGAAGTTATGGCGCACCTAGTTTTCTGCGATGGTCAGAGGATGCTGAACCACCTGGGAGAGACAGGGGGGCTGCAAGGCCTCAGTAAAGTATTCCTAAGCCCTACTGGCACCAATCTTTGCAGTGCCCAGGGTCAACTCCCAAGCTCCATTGCGCTGACGCAGCCAGCAGTCCTGGCTCTGCAAGTATGAGGCTTCGCTGTCTCAACTCGCTGAACATGTTTTAAAAGGGGTGCCCATAAAAACCACGGGGATACACTTCGGGGTCACTTTGGCAACCCGAACCCCCAGTCCCAGAGCAGCCATGATGACAGCCACAAGGACACAACTACTACTCATCATGTATCAAACCTGCGGTATGACTTTGGTTTAGGTTTTAGAGTCTAGGGTGTAGGTTTTTTACAATCTTAGGGCCTCAAAGGCGACTGCGCGAGGTAGCACGGTGGGCCCAGGGCTTGTGCCCTGCAAAGCCTTGAATGATGACCACACCTTGCCCAAGCTCCACACTCTGATGATATATTTTGGCTATATAGTGGTTATATTGGGATAATGGAAAAGAAAATGGAAGCTACTATGGTATAATAGGGGTTCAATAGGGGTTATATTGATGACTGCATACCTGGAGACTCTGTCGCTAAAATGCTGAAAAGCATGTAGTGAGATCCTGAAAATCTAGACGTACAGCAACGAAGCTTGCGCCCATCCATCCTGAGACGCTGAAGTCTAGTCCAGAAGCCCTACAACTCCTGGCATTCCTGAATGCATGATATGCCTTGGGTATTGCCCCCACCCAGTCACAGCCTATCATGGGGGCGATATACTATTATAAAAACATCCAACTGTTCCTGGGTGGGGCAGTATCCAAGATATGACTACGCACGAGACAAACGTCTGTCCCAAGCTTCTCATGCTTGGCATCTTGGGGACCCTCTGGGAACTCATGGATGCATCCAAAGCCATCAGCACCCAACCCTGAAGCAAAGCTCCCCGGAGATGCAACCCGAAGGCCCAAGATCCAGTCTTGAGAAGCACAACTTACTCAGGCTTTTAGGTGAGGTTGTTTTGAACAATCGCCACATTGGAAGATAAAAGCCCAAGAACCAAGGAGTGAAGAGCTCAAATAAAAGGAGGGGCTTTGGGTGGAGCCTCTTTGCCGCTCCTGAGAACAAAGGCGCCAGCTTTTGTCGTCCCAGTACGAATCAGTAAACTCACGCACCTCCGTAGTTTGGGGAGCAAAGATATTTATTCCAGGTTTGAGAGTTTTTGGGTTTCTGAACTTCAAAGAGTATGCTTGTCAGAGCCCGAAAGATGTTCCAGCGGCCTCTAAGGCATGACGTACTAGGAATGGGCTGCTGGGCGTGGGCGCATGTTGTTGAATTTGTTGCGGAAACCGAGTTAATTACCACATTTGGGTGCTTGAGGGTATAGCGTTGGCGTACAACCTTGCTCGTGAGCTTCTGGGCCCATTCAGTACTCGGCTACTTGGGTGCAGAGCCGGGGCTCCCCTCTAGAACCAAATGATCAATGCTCGCCCTTGACATCCTGAACCCCCCTATCATAGATGCGTCTGTTTCGGGTTGAGTTTAACCTTATAGGTGCTCGTACGACTGTACATGTAGATCATCCACCATTTCAAATCAAGTCGGAGCTTGCAACCTTGCAGCGAATGGGGGTCCCAGGTCTTCAGTTCTGGATACTGAGACAAGCAGTCGAGTAGTCCACCTCCACAACCACAACTCTAAACCCTACCGAAGCTGCACCCAATGCACCGCATACCCGAGCCAAAAGACCTGCGCCTGAATCCCTGCAGCCTGTCATGCCCCGAATCCTTACCACCCTTCTTCTTGACTGCCGGAGAGCTCCAAGGCATCTGCCCCCAAGCGCGGCTACCTGAACGCTGCAAACGCGTCGAGGTACAGGGCTTCGACGTTTTGAGCTTCAGGGCTTCAGAGAATCTAGCACAAGCTTTGCATCTGAAAAGGTTGCGGAAGGGCTTTGGCCTCCAGGCTTCTACCAGCCCTCTACCACGAACCTCAGAACCTCAAGCACTACGCCCTGAAAGCTTTCGTCCCCCTTGCAGCCCCATGATAGTGCACACGCCTTCTCCGCCAGCGCTGGCGGTGCAAGAAACTTTCGCTCCACCTCCTAAGCTCCCAAGGTTTGCTCGCAGGTCGTCAGTCCGGATTGCAGGGACAATTTCAAGAAGGGAATTACTACCACAGCAATCCATTCCTCCTGCCAGTTTTAGGGTTTAGACATCTGCGAGTCTGCCTAGTCAGGGTCCCTATCTGCCCCCAAAGCACGCAAAGGCCATACGAGTGGCTCATGATGCCAATACCTTCTCCTGACGGCACGTAGTATCAAGTTCCACACACCCAACACTGAACCTCACGCCCTATCCTGTGAGATTCTGCACCTGCCAAGGGGATCTGCGGGGCAGCTTCTTTCATGAACCTCTAACAAAAATCTAAGCATTGCAAAGCAAGGTCTCAAGCGCTGAAACCGAAACCCCCACACCGTACATCTCCCGAATGGGATGCTCGGTTTCGGGAAGTAAAGCGTGGCCCTGTTGTGAACACAATCCACGAGCAGCATTCTCTACTAAATGTGTATGCAACCGCACTGTGTCTATGTCCTGCCTACATCTGAAATGCCGCAATTTCAGGGGCTTGCTCCTTTTGATGTGGGCTTCGGATAATTGTAAATTCTGGACCTCAGCAATGGATGAGGACATCTATAACGGTTCCCAACTTGTATTCAGGTCTGAAAAGCTGAGAAGCCCTGCTTCGGAAACCTACAACAACTCTGAAAGATTACTCCCACTGATTCAAGCATCATTTCCAAATATCACCTTGTTACGGCTGAAGAATGTTATGCTTTTGGCAAAGAGGGCCTGCGAGGATCAAAAAGCTGCTGCCCAAGCTTCCACCAAAGTGGCACCCATGCCCAGAAGTAGTAAAAGCAGCCAGGAACTTCTGTGTCTCATAGCATAGGCTCAAGCATGGAGGCTTCCAGTTGCAGATTGACAAGACCAGATACTTGCTGTTGGGGGCTGCGGATGTTAGGCTTAGGGTCGGGATTTCCTCACTGCGGGTCAAGGAATGATACCACGACTAGGTTCAAGATTGGCTGTTTAGGGTGAGGCTTGAGACACCAAATGGGATGTTCAACAACTGGTGAAGTTGGTAATGCTGCACTGGTGGGCATCCTGCTTCGCAGATTCAATCGGCGTTTTGAGCTCATAGTTGCACGCGGCACGTCGCCTGTCTTCTGCATGGCACCCAAAAGCCCAAAAGCTTCCCAAATATCATGTCTGCACTCTTAAAGAATAGATGGGATGGAAGCCACATACAGGGGCAACAATAAACTGCAATTCCGAGGTATAAGATGACAGAGTGGCGCAAGGTTTCCTCCATCCACCTTATGTCTACCTGCCTTGCCAAAACGCGGTTGCCGTGGCCTACGATGCCACACGTCAACAACGATCAACAAAGCGGTATGTCTCGCCCTCAAGCCTTGAACACGAACATTCATGTACTTGACCTGATTATGGGTTTGTACCCTCAGGGTAATCAAGAAAAGGTTAGGAATGCTATCTGGGAGTTTGAGCCGCGCAAAAATTTTGAGGCAATGGTGAAACTATAGTATAGTATGGAAGCTTAAGCTTCCACAGGGGCTTCCTGAATATCCTTGGTCTAAGGGCAAGAAGACTGATGCAAGAACGAAAGCAAGCAGGGAAGACGTGTTCAGCGTGGCAAAGCCTTCCTCCGTCGTCCAGGGATTCCTCAACAAGCTAGGACAGGGTACTGTTCCAATCTTTTGCTTTGGAATGGGATTTGATTTCCAAATGGGAACCTCGACTGACGGAGCCCTGTCAGCAGTTCGTCGTGAATTGGCGAAGCTCAGTTGGATTTCCCACACATCCCTCTCCCTGACAGGAACGTAGTGCAAATACCACAGCCATATCAGGCATCTGACATATATGGCAGTTTCCCTAGACAGGGGGACCCCAAATAGACCCTAAAATACTATAATCCTTGCTATAGGGACCCCTAATATGATTACCCCTAATTTGGGGAAACCCCATATGCACTACAGGCATACTCATCCTGTAAAGCCAAGCGCGGAATATCCCAAGCACGGGAACAAACCACAGTAGAAGTTACAGTTTCAGGATAATCTACTGATTGTAGAATCCTACTGTAAACAATTTTATTGACACAATTGTATCCACAAAAGGTTCTACAAGCTGTCGCCATGAGACTGCTCGTGTTGCAATGATCGTGAGCATCATGCAAGCTGGCGTGGCGGATTGCCACGCTTAGATCAATTCCACATACTCAACAATTATCATGCGTTTAGAGCTTAGGTTTAGGGACCCGAAGAACTACGGTGAACGTAGAGAGATTTGAGGCTGTGGCTGGGTTTTGCAGGCTGGACATCCTCAGATCAGAATTGTTGGCTGGTGCTGCGACCTCACGATGTACGGCCCCAATAGCAATGCCTTCTACAGACCCCCAAAAAGAAACCCTTAATGTGGAGGAAGGCCTCGCCCGAACCCAAACCTGCCCTAAACCCTTCAAGACCTGAGGCCACTCTTAAAATTCGATCCTTACATCCCATTCCATAAATAGCGGATCCATAGGAGCTTTAAAAAAGGGAACTCACCCCAATTTTGGAAACCCCTATGTTGAGAATCTGCCAAGCAGCTGTAGCTTGTAGCGGTCTCGGCAGCCGTGCCACACCTGGAGATACCGAGCTGCCCCGGGTTGTAGGATTCACGGGTTCTAGGGGTTTGGGGTTAGGGTTTTAGGGTTTTAGGGTTTAGGGTTTTAGGGTTTTAGGGTTTCAGGGGTTGGAGGATTCATGGGTTAAGGGTCGTAGTCGTAGGTTTAGGGTTCCAGTGGTGAGGGCGTGTGTGAGGACTTCGGCTTTGTGAGTTGAGTGCTTCCCCTTGGGTTTTTTGGGGAGGAAAAACGGTGGGCGCTTCTCAAACATGATTTATCCTGAGTCTTCTATTGCATTTGGAAAGAGTGCTTGTGAAAAAAAGGCGTCCTGATACTCTTCACTAGAGAAACAATTCCACCTGCCCTGAAGATATAGGCGTTATAGGGGTGCTGCGATCACCTCCTTCCCCGCTCTTGCACTGACTGGGGCGCTTCTTCTGAACCTCGTGCAGGATTTCTGCAAGGTTGTGTTTTTCATGTTTGGGTTCTAGGGTTCAGGGCGAGCAAGCACTTGAGCCCACAATCAAAAAATAAAAGCCTGTCTGGCCTGGTGCTCGTCGTTCATCATTCGAAGGAGGTGCGTGCCGACCTGGAGGTCAGGTCTACTCGGTGAGGTTTCGTATCAGCTATAGAGGTTTGGCTACACATGAGAGGTGTCCGCAAAAGGGGGTCCTTTGGAGACCCAGGGATATATTGGTGGTTCAGAGACTCCTCTTTGTTCAAGATGTTGTGCATATATCCGACCCTTTGCTGTTGGGTGACAGAAGCAATAAGGCTTACACGCAGTTAGGAGTGAAGGGATGCCTTGCAGGGATTGCGTGTTCATCCCTACATTCCCCACCACATCGTAAACCCTAAAGCCTATAAAAACTACCGTTTTCTTTGCCATTCCCAACTGACCACCAATAAGAAAGTACAAAGGTACAAAGCACCGCCATCCAAATAACTTCAAGGAGCATTGTACGCCCAATGTTGCAAGCTGTAGCGGGTGGGCTTTTACGTCTTCAGAGCGTCTCCCTCTTCTGCCTTTGAGCCTCCTGTAAAGCCAGAGAGGTTCCAGGGCCTCTTCTTGCAGCGGGGATAGGGACTCGTCATCCCAGTAACCCTGATAAGCCCGATCATCCCCTGTGTTTGCCAGGTATTATACCAGCTTCCAAAGTCCCCTGAAGCCCCCAGGCACAAGGTATCTACTATCAGGGTGTCGCTTGAGGGATTTGGTGTTCAACGGTTGAGGGTTCAGACTGTCGGTCTTATCAGACTTGGGGTTCTGACAAGTTGGCCGCCTCTTAAGGATTCTTCGGCTCACGTGCAGAAAATCCCACGGCAGATGCCCGGGCTTAAGTACTTAGCTCAAAGCTTTTGGCACGTTCCCTTTTATTAGAAGGGATTCTGGAAGGAGGTCGCAAATAGGCAGCTAGGCGCCCATATTGCTCCTCACTCTTCTCAGGGAAGGAGTGCATGAAGATAAGGACATTATTGTGGTCACTTACGAGTGATTTCACCGGGAACAACGGAAGGTTCAATTTGGTCATTCCCATTGGTTTGTAGCACTGAGGTCCCCTCCCCATGCAGAGCAAGCACTACCTTCAAAAGGTAGAATCCCTCAGACTTCCTTACCATCCACAACCCAAAGCTCAGTGTAAATACTACCCCGAGAACGCAGTCCTGAAACCCAACAATCTTTGCAAGCCCTGACCTGACCTCATGGTCACAGATCGATTGGAGAATGGGCTTTGAGACTGGCCTGGCACAAATGACTTCTGCAGGGGAATATATATATATATATACATATATATAAACATATATACTTATAGGGGTATATAGGGTTATAGAGGGATATTGGAAAAGAAAATGGAAACTACTTGCCTTACATGAAAGGGAGGTCTCTCAAAAATATGCCTGCGGGCTTGATGTTGGAGCCTAAGCTTCAGGAGCTCTTGCGCAGTTAAGCCAGGTGCTCATAGCTGGCCCTGGGGGCATTCTAGGCCTGCTGAAGCCTCTGCAGTGCACCAGTATATGAGCTGTACTCCAAGCATCCCCCTGAGTTACCCCTATAATGCTCCCCTCTATAACCCCTACATAACCACCCCTTTAGGAGTTTAGACTCTAGCTCACATGACCTATCCCCAGTTTATCCTGTCTTTCGAGGCCTTCGTTTTGTAAGGTTCGGGCCACCAGGCCCTTCTGCCTGCTGAGAGAACCTACTGGGGGGGTGGGGGGGCGTTGTAGGGGAGAAGGGAATAAACTATATAGGGACTATATAGGCAGTGTATAGGCATTCTGTAGGGATTATATACGCATTATGATTATGTTCTCACATCCCCTAGTAACTGCCAGTAAAAGTTGGGTGACGTTGGCATGCACAACTTGCCGGAGCGTCTAAAATTCCAGGCAAGGCAGGTCACCTTGGCGACTCACAAGAGAGTTTGTGTCGAACGACTCAGATAGCCTAAACTCTTTTTGGTGTGCCAACCTGCCAACAGGGTTGCGCGACCCCGCCGTGCGATGCAGGAAGCGTATAGTGACACCCGTCTGCCGTCCATTACCCCTGTGCTGAGCGTGTTTTGGCGGTGCGACGTCTTGCTTGAACGGCCACTGGTGAGCTTGTCAACGCTGCGGCTGAACCTTGCTGGGGCGCTTACAGGCTCGATCTTGCTGCGTTGGAATGTCTAGGACCATAACTTCGAGACAAATCCGTGTGATCGTGCTCCGAGTCTTGCTTGGACTATTGGCATGCAGCAGAATGAAAGCCGGAGCTTAACGATGGAAACCTTGAAAACACTATGCATCAACCTGAACCCAGTACAACCAGTCAGACTGGCCCCTTGGCGATGTTGACGACATAGCGGCCCTCACCCAATGTAGCCTCAAAGCATTCATTGTGGGTGTAGGATTGGCTTGGGCTTGTACTGTGTCTTGATGTTGTATGGTGCAGCTATGCTCTTACTTCAAAAAAACATGCAGCCCCTGACCTTCTATGTTGGGCTGCGGATGGGATGTTTTTTGCATGTCAGCAGCTTTGCTTGACAATGCCGCACTCACGTCTGACTTGTCTAAGACCCTGACAAACAACGGCTTTCTAGAGATGGGGTCCCTTTCTCCGGCAGCACCGCAAGAGTTTAGTAGCTAAATTTTCTGATCTCCTAGAAGAGTCCTCCAGCTGGGCAAAACTACCAAGCTAGCGCCTGCGCCAGTCATCGCTGCCCACGCTCTCTTGAGGGTAGGCGCCAAAGATGTCGATTCTTTTGGGCAGTCCTTATGTTAAGGTTCTTGGACTTGCGGGTATATATGGAGGGACGCCGGCATTTACCCTTGATTTTGAGACATGCCGTAGAAGAATGCCTGAAGCAATTCAGAACGGATACCTGCAGATTGGCGCATGCATCGACTCGATGCCTCAAGAAACCTAAGTATGCATCCTACTTGGAATCTGGTTGCGGCATCCCTGCTGCTCATGTCTGGATTTACCAAATCCCAGCCCTTGCCACGGCAAGACGCGCGCTGATGATTGAGACCTGCTGACGGCCGGTGTATCTGAAGCTTGTGCGCGTGAGGACAGTCGCGTTTGGATTTGAAAAAACCATTGCAAAAATGGCGTAAAACACCTATCTCCCAAACGACCGTGACGCCCAAACAATCTGATGCGCTGCGTCTTGAAATTGACTCTGAGAACGACTCTTACAACGCCTCTGTTTCTCCACCCATGTCAGGACCAATCCAGAATGAAGCCCTAACCCACTGACCATCACATACCTGAGCTCACTGCCACATTGGCTGCACTGAGCATGCCGTCAACGAGACGAATCTCCACCTTGTCCTCCACCTGCCGCATGCCCAGTGTGGGAAGGTAGCTATACGAGAACAGAAAAGAGCTTACCAGGTAAAGTCCAAAGGGGCTAGCAGAGCTTCAACAGATCTTCTCTACGGCTTTCTGTGAACTCTAGTGGATGCCTCATTCTCTCCGCTGTATGTATAACACTGAGTGAACCTGCCCCAGGTGCTAAGGATTAGCGTCATCAGGCTTCGGAAATTTATGGGCCCAGAGGGCCTGTTTCAATATTCTGCTTTAGTATATTTCAGGTGCGCGTCTCCATAAACATATACCGTATGTACACCTACCCGGGAGTGTTGCAGATCATTCATCTTCATGCGTTGCTGATAATCTACTTGTAGATGCGGCTTACACTAGGTAAGGGGTTTTAGGTTCTATGGGTTAAAGGCTATTGGAGGCTTCGGGGCCCGGGCTTGCAGTCAGTTGTTCATGGGGACTGACGTCTGGCCGACTTCTTCATATTTACTTCAAGGCTCCATATGAGGTGTGATGTGACAGGCACAGCATGGAGCCTTCCATGTGACTGCTTTGCTAAGCATTCTTGGACACCCTCTTTCAACATAGTCTTACCTTCGGTTAGCTAGGAATGAAGGAATGGATCCCTAGAGTAGTCCCTTTATAACCCATTATAGAAGTTTCCATGTTATTTTCCATTTCTTCGTTCCCCGCTAGCCCAAGGAGAGTAGTCAGGGAGGAGAGTCTGGTTCTGGCGCCTCAAATGCTGAAGATTCAGACCTTTACGGTCTGGATTGCTTGGAGACCAGGTTACTTTGTTACTATTGCTCCTACTACTATTGTTACTTTTATTACTGCTCTGTCTGACAACATGCTACTTGGCCTAGAGTTGCGCGAGTCAAGGGCTCTATGCGGACATAAGGGTGGGTCGGAGGCCCACTTCGCCCACAAGCCCAGGATGATATCAATTGCAAAGCGCTTAAACCCTGAACTGCGCAACCCGAACTCGGACATCTCAGCAATTTTGCAGTGCATCCACCCAAGCCATTTGAATCATTGTTGCCGCCTCTTCCAATTCCATCTTTTAGCTTTTTGGCTGCATCCCAATGATTCCAATTGAGGTTCGGGTATTGAAGCATAACTGGCTGATTGATGTAAGCGTGCTGACTGCTTCGCAGGAAGCACGAGGCCCGCGCATTCTGATCCTTGAGGTAAGCAGCAACCATGTCCCGCAGCCTCAGAACCAAGAGGAGAAGGGCCATGAACGGTACTCAAGAAGTTGCGAGTACAAGGTTCGCGAATCAAGCCTGTTGCCATCAAACTACATCAAATTACAGAATGGACCCACCAGAAAACCGTTTCTAGCTCGAGACCATACCATATTACTCTTCTCGTTCCTGCCTTTCTTCCAGAGATACAATTGTTGTTGTAGGAGGGGTTGCTATTGTCGCTGTTGCTGTTGCTGTTGTCGGTGTCGTTGTCGTGGTCAGTGTCGTTGTTGTCATCATCATTGTTGTGGAAAAGGTCTATGCAGTTCTCATGTCGCATCGCAAGCAAAACCCACATCTTGATTCGAGCCCATTTCCATGTGTACCTGCTGGATGGCCCTCCGCACCCGGAAGTGCTGCACCCAACACCCACTCTAATTCAACTCCCCTTCGCATCTTTGAATTCACAAAGCAAACCTACTAAACCAGCAAAGACCCCAGATGGTAAGCACCCTGGACAGCACACTCCGGAAACTGCGTGCCGAGCCCTCTCTCTATATATGTATATCTGTATCTAAGCCTATATACATATGTATATATATATATATATCTGTCATTATCTATCTATCTATCTCTCTCTGTCTTCTTCTTCTTCTCACTGCTCTACCCCTCCACGAGGAAGGGGCTGTCTCTCTCTCTCTCTCTCTCTTTCTCTCTCTCCACATATGCTTTTGAGGGAACCCCAGCAGCTCTGCTATGTCCCTGATTGATTCCAGCCTGCACACCAAGCCCTTGACTTGACGGCTTCAAGCCAGTCGATAACGCACTCTGCATCAAGTGCCCGACTCCTCGCAATCAGCCTTCTCTTCGCCATACCTGTTGCAAGCGACGTGGCATGCAGCTGGGGAAAGGCTGAGGCTACGGATTTTGAATTCAGGATCCTATTCTCCCTGTCTGCGCACAAACACGACCCTGCCAAATTGTAGCCCATCTGCCCCAACAATGGGAGGTGACAGAATTCATGGATCCGAATCTGCCGCTTATGGAATCCCAAATAACGGGGCTTGAAATTATTTGCCTACAAGTAGCTAAGAATCATACACATTCCCAACTTCTGTGACCAGATCCCTAAGCACTGTGAACCGAAACCCTAAATTCTGGGTCACATAAGCTGCATGAAGGAGTCAGGACCACCACAGCTGCCGTGGACCTGTCCAAGCCGCGTTCAAATTTCGGGGAGAAGCTAGTGTTCAGTTGATGTGATGCTCTGTGCCAAGTGGGGATTTCAGGAAACCCTTAGAGTCCGTGATTGTATTGGGGAGTATATGGCATTTCGCGTTGTGCAAGGATTATTCTCAGACTTTCAGTCTTCAATGAAAATGGATATGACCTTGATGCATGCAGCAGCGGCAGTTGCCTTGAACAAACTCAGGGCGATACATTGCTAACTGTTTGGTGTCTTCTCTGGGGGAAGGGGGGTGATCTAAGAACTGAGGGATTTACGTCCACAGACCCAAGGTAAAGTAATGCCCGTGAGGGGCTTAGGATTGAACAGATCCAGTGCGCGCGGACGTTATCTGCAATGATTTCAGTTGGCTGTCAAATATATGGCTGTATGGCGGTCAGGGTCATGCAAAGAAGGCATATTTCAAAGTCATTCAGGATGTAAAATGTAATCCTTCAATCGCATAGCAGGTATAGCGGGTCCACGGAAAACTGGTCAACACTTGAGCGTCTCCCTGACTTTCTTGAAACCTGAATAAGACTTAAAGGTGCCTGGACGGCCTTTGGGACGGCTTCACTTGTCACTCGAACAAGATTTTGCTTTACAGGCGGGTCTCTTGGAAATCGAGCACATGGCGGCAAGGCACGATCATCTTCTAATCACGTGCTGACTGCTGCCATGTTTCAAAGCATCAGGCTGGCCGTCGAACTCACAGACTCTGCAGGACTCCGGTCACTGAGGCTTACAAAAGTAGATGATGATCAGTCGGTGCAGCAGCGCGCAACCTATACAGGGAGTCGGTGCTGTGCTATGCTGTGCGGCTCACCACTCCCAAGAAGCTTTGCTACAACCGCGACCCTTTTCAGCAGCACTCACTCACATATTCGCCAGCCATTTGTGACAGGCTGCGCGTATGTTTTCCCACTCCTTCTTGTTGTCATGTTCAGGCTCAATGTTCGAGAGCTTGTAGAACAGCGTATGAATCTTCTCAGGTAACTCCATGTATCTTGCCAAGCCACAGGTGTGGCGAATCGATTCTCACTCCTTTTTGTTGTTGCTTCCTGGATGTGTGTCTTGCAGCACACTCATCAAGCGGTCGACCCGGGTCTCCAGCGGTTGCGCCACGCTGTCCTCCAAGCTCTTGCGGATGCTTGCCCACTCCTTCTTGTTATGGCGCTTCGGCTTCGTTCTGGCAAGGCTATCTAGCACCTGACTGGCACTCTCCAAGTTGTAGCCCACTTCAACCTTGAAAGGAACTTTCATAATGGGACCGTTGTAAGATGACACCACGTCAAAGGCGAAGTGAGCGCCCATATCCGGAACGCTCATCTGCAGCTGATAAAGGATCAGCGAGCCATACGGCGGGATGGTGCTTTTGACGGAGATTGTCCTCTCCTCGCTGATGTCTTCGGATGTCTTGACCATCTCTTGAACAGTCTCCTGAAGCGCCGACTGAAGCCTGATTTCCTGCTCGCTTGCGGCACCGCCAATCAACTTGACTTTTGCTGTCACCGAGTTCTTGAAACCTAGCATGAAGGTGGTCTTGAGACTGCGCACGTTCTCGTGGCTAGTCACCTTGGACATCTTGCGAACGATGTGTCTGCTCCAGACATGCTCACTTGAAGAGTTCTGGCCAGAGACGTTGACAAGGAGGATCCAAAAGGCGTCACCAGACAGTGTTTGTGAATCGGAAAAGGAGCTCCCCCTGAGAGCTGATGCACTCGTCGCCTCCACGGTCTGTACCTCAAGGCGGGCTGGGGCCTTTTCAGAGTCCTACAAATATTGACAGAGCACCTCATAAAGGAATCCCTTAATCAGCGCCGGATTATACTAGTGACCAAACAAGCACTATACTCTTGACTTCTTTCCACATGGGTAATTGCAAAATGACAAGTGGTCCTCTTCTGGTCCTGATTGCGATACGGCACCTCTACAAGTTTAGGAGATCCAACAGTGAACCAGGACGTTGACAAAAACCACATAATCTGCAAAGCTGCTGTACAGCCCGTCAACAGCAGCATCAACACCTGAGCTCCGGTTGAGACACTTTAGGTTGAAAGATTAGGCTGTAGGGTTTAGTGTTAAGGTTTCGGGCTTCGGGTTGTCGTGTTGTTTAAGGGAAGTCAGAGTTCAGGGCCTAGGCTTTGGTGTTGAAAGTTTAGTCTGCCTCGCATGATCTCAACTTCAGACAATAGGCACCCGTCCCATTCGGCTTTGCTTATCGCAAACACATCACAATATCAGTGTAATTCTCAGCTGTCTCACAGCTACTGTAGGACAGTCGTTCGCCCTTTTCCTGGTTCACCGGCATAGCGTGGTAGTGGCTTTCACTCAAGCTAGACGGCCTACAGGCACCAAAGGCTTATCTGCCGGAGCAACAGGCCTCCCTGGAATTTGCCAGCTTCCTACGTAGGAAAGACACCAAACACGAGGGACACTAGGTCACTAGGATACAGCCAAATGTTTTCCTACCTGTATCGCAACCCAGTTTGGGAATGGACATGGCATGAGTCGCAGCAAGCGCTGGGGCCCGCGCTGTTAACATAGTTCCCATGGCTTTGGACACCGCTTAGGACGGCACTCAGTGCCCTACGAATTCAACAAGCCAGCCAAAATCTCGCGCGACGGGGCTGCCAAAGTTGGGACAACAACCTCACTACGTCGGTCAAAACTGGGTTGGTGCCAAGGAATTTGAATTACGTTAGCCGTATTATTTACCATGCAACCATATTGTAATTCAAATTGAGTTAGCTATATTATTTGCTATAATATAATCTGGACTAAGTTAGCCATATTTTTTTTTACCATATAGCCATGCTATCATCTGAACTAAGTTCGCCAAATTTACCACATAACCATATTATGGTAAGTATTTCAAATTCCTTGAAGAGCAACCCAGAAAATGTCTAGGTTTCAAGGTTTGGCGTTGATGGTACTAAGTGCATGGGGGTTCAAGCCCCAAATGGAATCGGCTTCTGTCATCACAGTAACTGCCGATTTGGCTCCAATGTTCAATGCTGGCTGGCACAAGTTGTTTCTGCCGGCTGAGACAACTCGTCGTGTCGAAATCTACTCGACGGCGGATAATGCCCCAAGCACTCGTGCGGTGCACTGATCCGGGCGCGAACCTGCGCGGCGACGAAACACTAAGTGCTTGCAGGGGGTTGAATACGAACTATGTTATTCCACCATGGATTCGGCTGGCCTGACCAGTAAGCAGAGCAAGTGCAGCATGCAACTCTTATACAGCCGTAATTCCAGACGTGTAACGGGCGACTTGCATGCGCTGCACGGAACCACAAAGATTAGGTGCTGCTAGTCAGTTGCGAGGCAACAGCGCATCATGGCTTTCCACGCTGCTGACGACAGACAAATCACGCAAACAGTTATCGCCTGAAGGCTTTATGCTCAGATGCAAGTATACCCGTGTATTGGCGTCGGCAACACTGACCGGAAACGAGTTGAACAGGAATTACATGCACGAAGGAAAGGTGGCACAATACAACCCCGCGCAAGACATGTGTGCGCGCATACATGCGCATGTCTGGATGCGCCAACATACATATTGGTGTGCGCGTGCGTGCTTGTTGTACGAACACATACATGTTGAAAGCGCCTGTACAAACACACATGTGCTTCCACATCTCCACAGCTTCGCATCCACGATCACGTTCGCATTCAGTCTTGTGCACAGAAGAGTTACTTGAAGACATTGACGTACTCAACGCTGCTGCACACGTTTCGGAAACTTGCCCGAAGGCCGCGACCGAAATTCCTTGCTTGCTGGATAGCACGCGCAAATCTGAGACAATACATGTATCGGCGAACTTTTCAAACACGTACCTGGGCCGTCTGCGCGCGCAAACATGCGTGAGCACTGACATACATGCGTGCCCGTATGTAAACATCTCCGAATTGCAGGGTAGCACAATACCACCCCACGCAAACCTACATGCGTGTGTGTCAGCACATACATGTGCGTCCGTAAACTTGTATCCGCGCGAAAACCGAACACATATTATGTCTTGCGTGCGCGCCCACACGAACGCAGGTGTCCATATGCAAACATCTTCGCATCCACCATTTCTTTTTTCGGGTGGCGCCATGCCACCACCCCGTGCAAAAGGACATGTGTGTGCGAGCATGAGCATGCATGCAGACAATTTGGCACACAAACATACATTTGTGTGCGCACACTCGCAGTTGCGTGCTTGCGCATGTATGCGTGTACTGTCGGAACACATACATTTTGTACTCGCACAAGCAGAGGAAGTGTCCACAGGCAAACATCTTCGCCCGTCTCTTGCACAGAGGAATAAGCAGAATATCAATGTTGCTGCTGCACACGTCTCGTACCTGTGTGCACAAGCCGCGACCGAACCGAAATTCCTTGCCTCCCAGATAGCACAGCGAACACGTCACGAATCGTAGAGCCGTTAATGTGTCCGCGAACACGTACATGGACGTCCGCGCACGACCATGCGCGAGCTCACATACATATGTGTCCGTATGCAAACATCTTCGCATCCACACTTTCTTCTGCACTGTGGTGCAATACCACACCGGGCAAACATGCATGTCTGCGCGCGCAAACATTCATTCTTGTGTGCGTGCACGCACATATGTGTCCGAACGCATGTATGCGCGCGGGCACTTGTGCATGTGTGCATGAACACATGATACATGCCTGTCCGTGTTCACACATATTCCAACTTCTTCAGCTGTACTGCACCAGGTTTCAACGTGCTAAGGGGCTCAAGGAAGTTCAAACTGCTCTCTTTTTGCCGTTCTGGCTATCGGAACATTCAGAGTGAAGAAGGGTCAAGGAAACCACGCAACTGCACAACTATACAAGCAAGACTACCCTGAGGTCGCACGCATGATTTTCCCCAACTGCAGATGCAGACTCTAAGTTCTTTCTCGGGCGTCAGACGTGGCAGCTTCTTCCCTGCAGACGTCAATTAAGCTGACTCCAGGGCCGCCAGTGTCTCCAATACGTCCTGAGACCTTCCATGGAGAAAGCAGCATCTATCATCCCACGTGTGTACAGCAGCTCCCCACGCCGTAGGATGGTAAAAGCATAGAATTAGACATTGGTTGTGGTGGATTGTGGCAGAGGGTTTGCAAGGAATCCGTCTGAGACTTATGATTTGGCAGGGTTTGGGTGTCAGGGTTGATACGACAGGTTTGACGTGATGCGAGGGTACAGAGTTTGCGTTGAGATCTCTGGCCTGAGCCCTACAGGGCCTCAGTGCTCCATCTATGCTTCTCATAAGAGACTCGTCACCTAGCCGCACCCCCATTTTGGGCGACCAGGTGCCTGTTGGGCGATGTTCTCCCAATTCAGCCGGCCAACAGTGACAGCGAACAGAAGAACCTCGCTTGAATCAAATGCGTCTCAAAATCAAGTGTGATAGCCTTGTGGACCCTGGCTTGTAGGGGGCCACTAAGGGTGCTCCGAGACTGCAGATTATCTGAAACATCTTTGAGAAGTCACCATGTGCACTCAAAACCATTTCATCACGCAGATGCGCTGCATCGGCCCTATCAACCAAAACACCTGACCTGCTTGCTTCGGCGTCCTTAGTTTGCACTGTATGTGGATCTCTCGGCTTCATCTCCGTGACCTGTCACCACAGAAGAATCCGACACTTACTCCGTCGATTACCTTTATTCTAAAATCAGCCGGTCAAATTAATCACTCAGCTTCGTGGCGCTGGATTTAGCTTCAGGTACCCACAAACATCCTTCATAGCTTCGTTTCCTGCACAAAAACCTTTTTGAAAATCAGGGGACTTTAAGCCAGCAAGCAGCCTGCAGCCAGAATTTCCGGACTTACTTCAATCAGGCTTAGTTTCTCGACGCAGCTTGGGGGAATGTTCCCTGCTGTTCATAGCACTCTGGACCATGACTTTCGTTCTGAAACCAACCCTTCAACCCCTCAACCTCTGAAGCTATTGTCTGGGATCTGACCTTAGGGTGTTTACATCCAAAGCGGGGATGGCATTTTTTGCAAGACATGACCATGACTCCAAAAACGAGCAGATAGAACGTGAGTTAATCCCATCGGATCCCTAGAAAGCTTCGCAATAGACACCAAGGGGCATGCCCACAGACTGCGGTAAGCATTCCGATCCACAAGCCCTGGAGACCAAATTTCGGGATGCCGAAGGCCTCAACGGTGAGTTCACACAAAAAAGTTGGCCTTCGAGCCTTCAGCTCCTCGACAAAATAAGCGTGGCTTTAGAGTGCACGGGGTTTTGTTGAGAAACTCCCGTATGGAGGTGGAGACGAGCGTCTCCACTTTAGCTCTCGCAGCTGATTTAGGCAGCCATGATACCGAGGCCTGAGTGTTTGTGATAAAGAACAAGACGAAATCGAACCTACAGTACTACATCATAGGAAGACTACGACACTTTAACTTGACTTATCGATAGGTGCACTGTGCTGCACATGGTCAAAACGCTTGGCAGTAGCCTTCGTCAGCAGAAAAGTTGGCAGGACAACCTATCTCGGATTTTGAGGTGTCCATTTTCTGGACTCTACTACTTCAGGGGGAAAAGTAGCCAAAACAAATCTTTTGCCCATGCGAACATTTCAACATGATCCCTCTGTAGTCGCTATAGTAAGATCCCCGATTATCTCTCACTATCCCAGATATCCTTGGACGTCTAAAAGGCTCACTACTTTCACTACTTTCAGAAGCCCCTTTCAAAGCCCCCAACATGCCCATGTCGCAAGCAAGTTGCGCCAAAGGCCAGGGAAAGCCCCAGTGGCACTCCGACCAACCAGTAGCAGACAAAAACGATGCGCGCCCCCAAGTCTTGCCTTGGCTTAGGCTTTGGGCAGTACTTACTGCTTCTTAGTATAGGGAATACGGGAAAGGATTTTTTATGGAGATTATATAGGGATGATTCTCCAACTAAGAACCAATAAGTTTAGGGTTTCTAGGGTGCAGGGTTTCAGGCGTAGTGTGGTAGAAGTCTGAAGGGGTTGAATGAAGAGTTCTTCAAAATTCTCGATCAGAATCTCAAGCTCCATGTGCCCAAAACCTCACTCAAAAACTTCTGCTAGAGACCCCAAGCCCCTGCCTTGGGGATTGTAGCTAAATTTGCGCAATGCTCCTATAGTCGTTGCTTCCAGAACCCTGTGTGGCCCACCCATGCACTCGAAAGAGCCTCGTTGCTTCCCAGCACCCTGCAAGACGCCACACATGGAGGCCTGCAAGCTGTCCATAAAGCTAAAAGCCAGCGAGAAGGGAAGTAGCTCCACCTGAGATTTTGCGGATGGGACATGTGGGCTTAGCTCCGAGAGGTTTTATGCAACGAAAGGTTTAAACTTGGGATTGTATGGACAAAGCACAAAATGTCATGTCAAACTGACGAACGTAAAACAGTGAACGAGCAGCCAGACCTGCACAGCACAAGTGAACATGAGCCCTTTCATCCCAGAACCTAGCCCTAAACCCCTAGACCCTAAACCTTTGCATGTCCAGCGCAGACCGAGCTACAATTCCAGCCAGGATGTCATCTCTCTGCGTGAAGAGTCTGGCAAGGTGGGTGCCTGGCTCGTTAAAGCATGATTATTACTTGCACCGTTCTTACTATGCTTACTACTAGTATCAGTTTAGCTGTGAGAAACAGTGTTGCTGTTATTACTACTGCAGTACTTCTTCTGAAGCTGGGCGACACTTGGCGACCTTGGGAGATATGATGGGAGGATGAGTAAATTATACGGCTTCCCTTACCTTACATTACGGGATAAGTAAAGACTTCCGTTTGAGGTAAGAGATTTTTGTCACAGTCCCTCAGGTGGACTTACCTAATACTTCTATGTGGAGGAACATTCTGCGCGCTCTCCAACGGCTCCAAAGCTGAGCCCCCTTGCCCAGACGGATACTTACCAGGGATTACTTGGATGGTCATGGGGACTTAGTAAGTAGATTAAACCCCCTATTAGCCACAAAATAACCCCAATCATCCCCATTATTGATGGTAGGGATAATGGGATTACTATATGGCTTATAGGGGTTATTAACCTACTTACTAAGTCCCCTGACCCTAAGCCCAAACCCTAATCACCTGCTATAACCCTACTTACTAAGCCCGCCTGACCCTCCAAGTAGGGCCACCTTCCCTAAACCCTAAACCCGTACTTACGGTTCTTCCTAGTTGCCACCAGAGCAACCACGACAAGACGGGCTTTTTCTACACAGCTTTAGGGTGCCAATAGCCAAACTCCCAGAAACGTCCAGCTAATGCTTGAGATGAAATTCGGACCCCTGGGTGGAGGATGACGGCATAGTAGTCCCCATTCCCTTCGCCAGTACTATACCCTCAACTCTGCAAGCCTTCAATAGATAACTGCTCTGTGCAAGCCAACATCAGTACTGAACTCGTGGCAAAATCGTGCCAAGACAAACCGAGTTGCGCAGAATGAGAAAAGCAACAAGCTGCACGAGCATGATGGCCTGGGCAACATCCAAAGCTTTCCAGGAACTTAACGCACCCCGGCTAGGCGTGCTGGGCCCTTGATCGTTGAGTGTACCATTGCGAGCTTGTACTTGTAGATACTGCAGCTGGTCTGACTTCAAGCTTGGCGGTGCATGGTATGGAACATGTAGGATTTGATTTAGGCCACAGTGGTTGAGGGCTGCAGGCTCCCTGAGCAAGCCAAAGGTGCCAGCAGAACGTGCTTGCACGTCTTCTTACGGAGAAGCAACTACGTACTCACACTCACACACACACACACACACCCGGTCCTCATAAAGACTCCGATGAAATGCTCGTATGGAATCCTCTTTCTTGGGGAATCTTCTAACCAACTTTGGGATGGTAGTCTCCAGAAACCCTGAACCTCCAAATGGAATCCTTAAAACATGCGGAGCCACGCCCAGGAAATCCTCTAATCTTAGGTCTCTAAACCCTGAACCCCAAACCTTCAACACCGATTGCTCTTAACCCCGGGCCTGCATCCCAGGCCATGAACCCCCTGCTTATATGGGAGCAGGGTAGTGCAAGCAAATTCTGACTACTTGCATGAATTGAGCCGTGTTTGGTTGAGGTATGGTTCTTGTTTCGCTTGCTCCCCTATTTCCTCAAAGTGTTGACGCCACCGGGGGCCCTTGGGCAACATGAAAATTGTCCCCAGAAAGGGTCACTGCACTCTCTGGGTAAACGGTTTCAGGGGACATCAGTACGACCAATTTGAAACTGCCCAGCGGCAACAGCCAGGGTGATCGTGAGTCGGGCTGCCCGCTTGGCCGCTTTGTGGTTGCCTTCACCTTCAAGGGACTTAAGGGTTGAGGAAGTTTCCGAAAGCTCAAACCTGACCCCTCTTCCAAACCTCAAGATCAGGACTTTGGGTAGGGAAATGATGCTGCTTCGTCCTGGAGCTTCTTGGGGAGTCCTTTGGCTAAGTAGCCGACTCCTCGTTTCATAGTCCCGTATTGCTGAGGTCTTGATATGTTGGCGTTGTACTGTAGTCAAAAGGCCATATCACAACGCACCAGAGGTGCAAGAGCTGAATGAGAATGGACTGCATCAGCCAATTCGGATTTTGGATGAGTGTACACAGTATCTGGCTCTGAATTCTTCAGCACATCCACACTGAACCGGACCCAAACCCCGACACCGGGATGCTGGCAGGGATATATTCCATCTGCCGCAAATTGCCGGCCCCCAAACTCCACCCCAAATCACCCCTCCTCGCGACCCGAACCCCTGGGCCTAGCATGTTGCCGACGACTGTGCTGGCACCATTGCCCATGGCCTGACCCAAGGAGTACCTTCGTGAGTCAGAGAACTGAAACCAAAAAGCCTGCATGACCCTCAATACCCACCCTTAGGATTATGGTCCTCTAGTATACTAAGGCTATGCAGGAGTTTGAGCAACAATAATAGGGCGCAATGGGGGACAAATTCCCAAAAGCTGCTCCTGAGCCTTCAGTGTGCGCCAGACTGACACATTGTCTTACAATAAGGCGAATTGGCCTACCCAAACCCTGAAGAGCTGAAGTTGGCACGTACCCTATCACGATCACATAAGCTATAGTCTAAACTCCTGAAAGGGGGTTATATAGGGGATAATATAGGGTACTACTATAATGGTTATTAAGGGGGATACTAGGATTTTAGACAATGTTTCACATGATAGCATGTTTGAGGGTTGGGTTACAAATTCCTCTTAGTACCTTCAAGCTGAACAAGCAGACCGCTGGAGTTCGCGCCATGGCAGCCGTTTGAAAACTACCAGAAATTTGCCGCAACTCTCTCATGCTTGCAGACAGGCAGCAAGTATGCATACAGTATCTGACACAAGGGCCAGCCATAAACCCTTGAACCCCTAAACCCTGAGCCTGAACCCCCCAAGCAAACGTGTGTAGGAGATGCAACATCCAGCAAGGCTACGCTATGCTTATTCGAGGATGGGAAGCAGATTTCATTCCCTGGTCATATGGTGTATTCCCAGTTATCTGGCCAAATTAGAATAATTCACTAACCCTCTTTTCGTGGTAATTACCACATAAACGACCAGTTCGCCTAGGTACTGCAGGTCACCCACCGCTGGAGCAACAGATTGGACGGCTTGCGCAAGCTCACTGACGAAGCCTTTGGGTGTCGGGCTTCGAGCTTAGAGGAATAGTAGAGGCAAATGAGGAAGTTCCACTTAGCAGCTCGAGAAAGGGCCAGAGAGTGATAAGTGCGCAAAATGAAACAACGAAGACCCTGGGGCCACGCCCAATCACTATCCATGACCAACAACTAAAAGACTGCCACGCCAAGCAAGCAGCCTGCCAGGAAGGACATGAGATCCCAGGTCCACCACTCGATGCACATGAGCATCAGGGCTGGACAGGAGATACGCAGGTAGGATCCCCACTGGCTGAAGGCTTCTCGCGTGAAGCCGCCCCAGCACTTGCGGAAGTCGGGGTTGCGAGATGCCAGCACCTACATGCAGCTTAGTGTTTGGGATTTGAGTTGACTTGTGCCAGATTGGAATACTGCTTAAAACTCACAACCTTGCAATGAATGCAGAACTGATTATGAATCTGGGTGCTGAAAGCTTTTCAAGAAGAGTCAGCACACCACGCCAGGCATATGTTCATCTTCGACTTTGTCTTCTACATGTCACCGGGAAATACAGTTTCACCTCCCCTCGAATTCAAAGGTTCCGCTCTGCACAATGGCAGCGCAATTTCGGGGCAGACACAGGATTGTGTCTGCAAAGCATCTGCTGGGGACAAGCGGGAGACTGCAGCGGTCTTGAGGGGAACGCCAAAACATGCTAGAAACCAACCTGTGCTACTCGAGCCTCACTCCATCGTCCAAATCTTGAAAACCCTCACCGACTGATCTGACCAGATTTGATATTTCCTCGCTTCCTTATGGAGTCAGGAAACCGCGAAGAGACCGTCATGGGTACCTCGTACAGATACCCCCCCAAGAAAAATGACTGTCAACCCAAGGCTCCTGTTGCTGAGTTTTGGACACAGACAGCCATCTAGGCTGGCTAAGGCCTCGCCTGATTGCCAAAGAGGCACCCACCCCTTCGACAGCCAACAGTGATACAAAACAACCCCCGCTGTCAACAATACCCCATGCAAAAAATGCATTGTGACGAGAACGCACATCAGACTGCAAGAGTTCATAGAATGTAACAATGACTCCAGATTTTGCAGCGCAGGCGCCAGGATACCCAGGCTCTCATACGCATCGCAGATGCAGGCTGCGACCGGTGCTCCGACAAAGCCTCAGTTTAATCCTCTTCCATTTTTGTACAAAATGATACGAGAAGAGCATTGGTGGAATGTTGATGATTAGGGGAAGGGTGCTTTTTGTTGAAGAGAGGGGGCTACCGCTAACGCGCGGGAACAGACATCTGCTGTTTCATGAGCAGACCTTCTTCTAAGGCATTTCGGATTTTCGGGGGTGTATGTGAACTGCAACACCACAGCACCATCCTTGTAGGAATTTGGGTTGAGAGCAGTGAAACCACTACGTCTGCAGCCCGTAAATCTAGGGTTACAGTAAGGGGTTTGGTAGGTTGTAGGTTTGTACAGGTTTGAGCTTATATGGTATGCCAGCACTCCGCGAAAAGAAGTGCATTAGCTTTTCTACCTGTGGTTGCATCTTAGGTTTTCCAAGCAACGCTACTTACCAGTACTTTCCCGGCCAGGGGAAACCCTGGTTCGGGTTTAGGATCTAGTGTTTGTTGCGCTGCCCCAAAACCCAACCGCTAAACCTGAACACTTCAAGCACTGAATCAAGAAGAAGCTAAGAACTGAGACGCATAACGCTTGGAATGCGCGACAGGGTGCCGGCAAGATGAATAGTTTCAATGCAATGCGACTGCGGATGGAGCCATGGAGCCAACCTTGCACCACTCAATATTACCCCTATATAACCCCTATATTACCCCTATACAACTCCAATATAACCCCTATAAGGATCCCCGACGCAAACCTCTGCAAGTCAATGTCAGCCAGGTCGCCAAGCGAGGGAATGAAAAGAAAGCTGAGGCAAACATGCAGTAGCGCTGCGGTGATGCTCATCCAAAGGTTTATCTGTACCTGAAGTCATCATGAAGTAGACTTACAGTGGGGTGGATAAGCAGAATCCGCGAGTGTGGAGAGGTCCACTTCCTTGCAAATCTCAGCACAACTAGCAGAATCCAACTTGTAAACAAGTGAGGAGCAGTTATAAAAATCCTCAACACCAACACTTCCTCCCTTAGATGCCGATGTAGATCAAAGTGTCTAGTTCTTCATTCATGGCCGTACTGCGCAGCTGCGGAAGAAGTTACTGGCTTGGTTAAAAACACATGCCACGGACTCAACGCATCCTGGGGACATTGCTGATGGCAGATAACGTGCGGCTGAGAACACCTGAGCTTACGTGCATGGACGGCAAGCGGAAAGCATGGGACCAAGCGGAACCCTCTAGGCGAACAAGGGACTTTGGGCTCAGAGACTATCGCTTCTGCGGGAAACTATGGCACTATCAAAGTTGAGATAAGCTGACAGATCAAGGGATATGTTGGGATTGCAAGGGGAGTACAAGTACAAGGGGTGTAAGATTCTATATGAGCTATTTGCTAGACTCTCATATGGTTTGAGGGGCTTAAGAACTCGCAGATGGTCTATGCGTTTATGCTGGAGGGCGATGCCTCACACTGTGACTCTACTCTTCTCAGGTAGCTTTTGTGGAAAACCGTGCTCCCCGGAGACACTTGGAGGTAGCAGTCAAGCGGCAGGTAAAAAAGCTGAGGCCTGCAAGCCTGCTCGCATCCTCCCCGAAGAAAACTTCCCTAAACACTCAACCCAGGAACCCTGGAATGAAATAGAGTCTCAGCTATACGCAGTATGAGCCGGTCATATTCCTTCATGAATGGATACTGTAGGCGTGCAACAAACGTTCACGGAGCTTGGGTCAGGACACACCTAGATCAAGCCTAAAAAGCTTTAAATCCTACTACATCCACTCTCAGAGAGCATCATGACGATGCCCCAGAAAAATGATCCAGATTATGAGACTAAGCCATAAGGATCCGTCCCCAAACCGTTGCGGCGGGACACAATTGGCCGACATGAAGAGTAAGCCCGGAGCTCTCACACTGCCTTAAAGAGCGCAGGGCTATGAGGCTCATATCTGGTTTGCTTAGGCTTAGGCTTGAGGCTTTTTTTTCGGGCTTCGGGCATGGGGCTTGGGGCTTGTAGAGCGTAGGGGGCTTTACGGGATAGCGATCAGGCTGCTGCATTTACAGGGTGGGTTTGATCCCAGGCTACAATGGCTACAACCATGCTGACCGTTGCGGCACTTGGACCTTGAACACCTACGCGGAGATGCGTTGAATTGCAACTGCAGGACTCTGGGTCCGTGCTCTTGGATCAATGCATGATACTCAAAGGCTTGCACTTATGCACTTTTAGCTGCTTTAGGAATACAGAAATGCCTTAGCAGGCGTACATCACAACAGATTGTTTGCAGCATGCCTGCGTTGACATTGCAGTCTATGGCCTTCATCAGAATCTGAGCCACAGCGAGCTCTTGTCAGCAAAGCGTGATCCAGATATCCTATGGGTTGCTCTTCATTAAAATGTCCTGAACTGCATTCCCCAAAACCTAAACCTTCGGATGCTCTGCCATGAAGGAAGAAAGGTGCCAAAAAGGCAGCCCAGGGACTGTACAAGCCCACGTAATGCGCCACATCAGGATGCTGTCCCGCTGCTACCTCAGCTGCACACCCAAATACCAAAAGCTAGCAATTTCCATAGCAATAACAGTAAAAAGTGTTCAACCTTCACGAGTGCGGAAGGCTGTCAGAAGCAACCAGGTCGGGGCCCCAAAAAGAACCCGAATGAACCGCGAGAATAACAACTTTTCGTGCAGCGTTCGACCGCGAGTTGAGGACACCACACCCAAATACCAGTGAAGCCGGAGAACTCTTTGTCATGCTCCTCAGATTTTTGCGGAACCTGCGAAAGCGATTCTCGCCAACAAGAGTTTCGTCTGCATGGTCAAATAATTCCTCCAAGCATTTGAGGTCCAGAAACAGCTCAGGCCTGGCATACGAAACGGATGAGGGCTTGGGCAGTTTGAGGCGCTGGGTTCTGGGTTTGAAGGTTTAAGCTGTCCCCATCAGGCCCAGCATCCGTTGATGACCCCACCCCCGCGTGACCCTGAAGGTTGATCAGCTCAGCTGCTAACAACTTCGCTGAGTTGAGCCAAATCAGCAGAAGGGGCAAATCCACCACGCATAGCCTTGTTTCTGGACGCGAAAGATAGGGTTGGGTTCGTGGCCTGAGGTTTAAGGCTTGGCTTTCCTGCATCAGTGGCTCATCCAAAACACGCAGTAAGAACCCAGAATAAGCGGGAACCTAATAACCCGACCGAAATTTAAAAGCTGTCAAAGCCTAACCCGCCTCAGACCTCTCTACATCTCAACCCGAAACCGCCAACCTCAAGTCCTCAAGCTTCTTGAGGCTTCCAGCATGCAGGGCACGCCCTGTCCTCATCCATGTTCCCTCCCCACAGCCCCTAGATGACCACCTCAACCTTGCTCAAGGAGGCGGATCCCCATGATAATCCCCAAAATACAGCACTCCCTAGAACTCACTCCCACAAGGAATGAGGAGTCGTCTGCAGGGCTTAGGGGCAAGATCAGGAAAGCTCGCTGGAGGGTGATGCCCAGAGCTTTGAAGTTGCTAGCTCCCCAGTCCTGGAGTTTGGGAAGGATTTAGGACTTAGGATTTTGGACTCACAGCTTAGGGATGTTAAGGCTTGGGGCTTGGGCATTCTGTTCTTTGAAGGGCGTCTAGGGTTTAGGGCTTAGGGCTTTGGGGTTGGGTTCGAGGTTTACGGCTTGGGGGCTAAGGAAATAGTGGGTCGAGTTTCGGGTTACAAGGATGAGGAGGTGAAGGGGCCCTAGTCCTGAGAGCTTCTGGGATAGTAGGATGTCTTGATGTCTGGCTTGGGCGGGTGACAATTCGACTTTTTGAAGCTCTTGAGGCTGCTGCCTGCAGTGTAGAGTTTAGTTACGGTGAGAGGACTATGATGTTCTAGTTTTAGAAAAGGGGCACCAGTTGGGTGTAGGGCTTACTGTGGGGTAGTATGACTATTCGCAGGACACATGTCTCGATGCGATAACTGCATCCATACTGCTATACAGATTGATTAAGGATCGGCGGCTCTGCACTTCAAATCCTAAATCTATGAGGTGAAGGAGCTGTGGACATCGATTCATAGGCTTAAGGGGTCCTGGGCCATGACTAAGGGTTGAACAAAGGGAAGGGGTGGGGCGCGCCCCTCCGTGGCATTGGGTGCAGTTGCTTAGTGGAAGGCTTGCCAGTGAAACTGCTTGTGGTCATTCCGAGGATTTCGCGGATGGCTTTACAGTTCCTGGATTGGGGTTCTGGGATCTCAGTTGTTAAGGTCTGTTGATCCCGGCTACAAAATTCAATCAGGGATTGCGAGCTTCAAAACTTCATGGATCTGGGGCTTTAGGATCTTAGAAATACAAGGCAAAGGGTTAGGGATGTACGGCCATTGGATTCAGGGCCTTGGAAATGTACTGCTGCCAACCCAGAAGATGGTCCGGAGATGGCAGGTCCCCCAACAAAACCTCCTTTTATGACACAAAGCCCGCGCTTCTGAGTAATATACAAACAGGCTTCGTACGAGTAGCTGCTGGAACCTCCGTTGTCCCTATTGGCATGGTGGAACGGCCATCCCTAAACCGCAAACCCGCGAACCCTAAACCCTACACCCCTAAACCCTGAACCCCAATCTAAACCCTCGAACCTTAAAAACCCCAAAAGCCCTAAACCCTATATAACCGTAGTAGTTTCCATTTTCTTTTCTTTCACCCCTGTATAAACCCTGAACCCTAAATGTGTAGCATCCCCAGTTCCAAGGCCTGGGAACTCAGCGTGGAGATGCCGGCAGAAAGGCCCCAGAGAGACGAGAAACCGGTGATGTTGGTGATGACGTTGCCCAGACCTTGGTGTTCCTAGGTATTCATGGTTCAGCGTTTCGGGTGTGGAGTTGTAGGGGTATACGACTAAGGCTTATGCCTACGTAGGACTTGGGGCTTCCGAACATCTTCAACACAGGAGTGAACACCAAGTTTGACCAAGCTGGTCCAAGGATTCAGCGTAGACTATGCCAACATATGCAAGCTATATGACATCTGCATATGTTATCTCCAACAGAAGTCAGCGACAAAGTTGCATGGTGCTGGCAGTTTTTTCAATGAGCAACATTCCGACGCAAAATCCGAAATTGCAAAGACAACTCAATGGACGTATTTCAGGGAAAGGTAGGTAGCAAGCGAATTTGTCCAGATGCAGTATGGATTTTTTCCACGGCATGAGAGGCCTCCGGAATCCAGGAATGATCCAGGGATATGTCTGGGTTATCAGGCGTTTTTCTTGGGAATGACATGTAGACAATCTTCAGAAACACATAACCTAAGAATAAAAGACTTTTTCCATTAGGGGATAATTAGGAAGCACCCCTGTGAGCAAAAAAGGAATGTCGCGTGAAGAAAGCATTGTCGTACCTGCTGGTTGTAAGAGCACTGAATAAGTTGGCATGGGGCCTACGCTAAGATGACATAGTAGGTTCCATTTTCTTTCCCATTTCCTATACATAACCCTATTTGATATCTACTCCTCTTGGCTCAACAACAACTAGAATTCAGAAGTCTGAGGTATGTACAACCCGAACTGGATTGAACCACAAATCTTAAACTACCAACACATCCCTTTGTCAGTAAATACCTTCGAGGGCACGTGAGGTGTATGAGCCCCACCCCATTCCCTGCAAGTTACACAGGGTGCTCTAGACCAAATCCCGGAACTTCTGAATGGTAGCCTTGCAAGCCACGTATCTCTTCCACAAGGCCTTTACTATTAATTGGGTTTGAGTGGAAGCAAGCTGATGCTGGAAACCCTGAGGAAGCTTCCATCTTATCCATCCCCAACATGCCCTCGTAGATCTACTCAGCTACAAATGAAGCACATTTAACAGCAAGGAGCCAATTGCCGCAAGCGCGGCCTCGTCGAGGTGTTGCCCGATCACCTAGCTGTCGTAACTACATGTGTTTTAGGAACTGGGATGTCGCGTTCACGTTTTGGATTTAAGTCTTAGGGTTGAGGATCTAGAGAATACGCCTTGGGATTTGCGAGTTCGGGTTTAGGGCTTCAGGACTAAGATGCAACCATTAGTTTTCGTTTGTAGGAAATGGGCTTACGGACGAAGATTTGGCACTGGTCTTGCTTAACTACATGGCTACCCTTTCACATGCTTGGGCTAAACAGAATGGATATAGATGAGGACCTTGGAGGGTTCGTCTGATTTGGGCTTCTCTGAAACTACGGGTCCCTTGTTTCGTGGTCTTCAGAACAAGAACCCAATCCATAATAATCTTAGGGTTCGAAGATATGGGCTTCGAGCCAAAAATGTCAATCACTCGACTTGACTCTTTGAATAATGGTGCACATACAGCTCAGGAACCCTCATTCCTCAAATAAATGCCAAAATTGTGGCTCACTGCCAACATGGTTGCTCCATGCCATCCCAGTTGCCGCTGCTTCGACCAAACCCACGAGCCTGCAAGATGAATCTGCCAAATTTGACGCTTCGAAGAATCTTCCCCCTACTGCTACGCTGCTATATTGGGCATATCCATTGCTACAGGAGGCTGAGAGGCTCATTTGGAGAGAGGATTACTGCGTTGGGGCTGCTGTTGTCTGAAGGCCGAGGTCCTCATCATGGCCCGTTCTGTGAAATGGTCTTCATTGGAGCCTGAGAAACCCTACACAAACAGACCAGAAGCGCTGACCAAAGAATGACCCAGAACTCCCGTCACAAAGGTTCAAGCGTCACTGATCGTGCTCCTCCAGGAGTTCGCCCACTGCTTGGTGCAGTTGGTACAGTATGCGTATCTGCTTACTATGTCATGTTGGACGGTAGCACGTTAGAGGGAAATCATTGGGATCTTACAATGTGGAGGAGCATGCGACAAAATATCATGTTTGAGAACTTGTTCGATGTTCAGAACATTCCGACTTACGGAATGTATGACTGGAGCCATGACCTTGCCAGTACCCCAGGAGATAGCCTCAAGGCATGCGCTGTCAGCAACTCAACTATCAGCACCAAATCAGGCAGGGTGACCCTCAACCCGCGAGTCCTCAATCCTACCGTCCCTGAACACTGACTCCCATACGAACCGTATGCAAGTCCCATGAATGTGAGCCATAACCTAAATTTCTAGTATACCCCTTACTGACCCGTAGCGTAGTCCCCTATATAATCCCCTATTGAACCCCCTTTAAGGAGTTTAGACTATAGCTCATATGACATCAAGCCCTCAAGCCGCCTGGCAACTGCTTGGATCGGCCAACTGGGTGCTGCCACAATCACCAGTCGTCGTAGCAAGTCCTCGGAATCCCAAACCAAAGCGCAAACGACAGAGACTTTCATCCGGAGGCTTCTCAACAATTTTGGGTCTTTTCTTTTCGTGCCGTATACAGAGGGGACGCTTTCTGCGAGCAATTACCCATATCCTGCCAGATAACATGAAGGTGGTGCCCCGACAGCCTTCTTCAAAACGTGCGCACTTGCAATTTATCAAGCTTCCAAGACACCAGATGCTGCTGCCTCACGTTGGTCAGAGCCTGAGCCTTGATTCTATCCACGTCTAGCCTAGCATGCTCATTTCTCAAAGTGACACGTAAGAAGCCCACAAAGTGATCCCGCAAACAATTCCGCTATACCCTGTACAGATCCCTGCGGTGCCCCTGTTCAGAACCTCACATACAGACGCCAGACAGCAGATTCGAAATTCAACCCCGAGTATCACGATCTCCGTGTTCAGGAAGGTCCCGAGCGGCAGCCATGAGACTTGCTGCTGGGCGGAAAACGGCCAGCCACCGCAGAAATAAAGCTTGCTTAAAACATCATGGAGGTGACATCGTGTCTCAGCGTTGGGCTACTTAGAGCTGTAGTCTTTCTTCTCAACGATTCTACCGAGAATCTGTGATAAACCTTCAGGTTGAGTTTGCAAGGGTTTAGGGAGTTCGGGATTTCGGAGAGGAAGGGTCAGACTGTCTTTTGGCCTTTACCTTGGGGGATATATAGCTTGAGGCATCAGAACCTCCCTTGAACCCCAGAAGCACGCAACTCAGAGCTTTGGAAGCAAGGGGTACAGGGTTCAAGGTGCGGAGTTACGGCCTGGGACGACAGCTTTGTGAGGCTCCAAGCTAAAGAGTCCAACCAATGCAAGCCCCAAACCCTAACCCAAACGGAGCCCAACCTAAACAATGCTCTCCTCTCCTCAAATCAGGGAGCCTTGGTGCACCTATGTGGGCGAAATCTTTCTTCTTGCTTGGGTCTGCTACACGCAGCTGCTGGATAGACTGCGTGCATGCATGAGGGAGTAAGCAAAGATGTTGACCGAAAAAATCTCCATTCCTATACTCACTTCAGCTGATATAGCATGCAATCCACCTGTGCTGATGCTCGAGCACTTTAAGAAAGGTGTTGCTTCATCATGGATTCCTCAAAACCCACGACCAATCTGAACCTGGAACATGGAAACTAATCCAGAAGCCCAGGAATCGCCTACGCTGACATTACAACCCCCATTACAAGCTACCTGTCGAACATATGACTTTCCATGGACTCGCCAAAGGTCATCAAAAATGGGGCTTCCCATTTTTGGAGGGATTGTCTGTACATACCCCAATAATATGTTAACCTACTCCACAAAAGAGGACCCCAATTCTGACAAGAGAAGCTCTCGCATGCCAAGCTTTGAGCCCTGGGCCTTGTCAAGAATCCGTTTTGCAGCGGCTACGTGCTCGAAGTCCACTGAGGAGTTCTCCTGCCATGTAGGTTTGGGCCTGAAAGACACTGGTGTGCCTGAGGGTTATGAGGCTCCTTGGTGGGGGCTGTCGGTATTGATGTTGGGCCTCTGCTTTGCGGGGGTAGGCCTTGCGGCTTGTAGGGCTTTCGCGGATGTAAAGTGGTTGGAGTTATGGGGTTCAGGATGAAGGGATTTCAGGGTTCATGCTTGGGATATTCTGCCACCAACAACAACGAGAACAAGAAGCAAGCGCAGCTTGAAATGTAGGGGCTTAAGTTTGGCCGTGGTGGTCCCACATCGTTGCGGTGACGAGGATCCCTATGACTCGCGGGATAGACAGATGTCAGTCGCCGCCAGCAGTCTCATGACTGTTACTGCAACATCATGTAAAATATCAGGCTTATTTTGACATTATCATTCCTGAAGTTCTAGCCCAAAATCCTCCAGAAATGATAGGGATCCTTTGGTCCTCTACAAGGCCAAGACTTGTCAAGGGCCTGAAGCACGACAGTGTCCTAGGGCGTAACTACAACAGAACACTTCCCACATTCAGGGTGCATACAACTTCAAATTACTCAGGCCTCCACATTACCCTGATGTTCCTGCATTTGTCTGCCACAAGCAGTCAGGTCTCTTCGTTGGGGCCCAGTTCCACGCAAATAATGAAAGTCTGTAACTACCAAGTACTTCTACGGGTGCTTAATCAAGAAGAATGACTGAAGTCATGTGATCGCACATTGTTATCCGGGGCTTGAATTCCCGAATGCCAATATGCTCAACCAATTGGCGGCCTCGAAGGCCTTCGTCACCACCTCGTCGGAAAAGGCGTAAGTGAACTTGGGCGCCTCGCTGTTGAAGTCTACGAGTCACAAGGGGGTGAAAGAATTTTCATTCAAGCCGACCAACAGATGTGGCAGGGGCATGAGTCCCGTTAAAGGCATCCTTACAGTCTGCGAACATGGCAAACCCTCTCGGGCACTGACCTCCGTGCACTCGCTGGCAAAGAAAGCGTCCATGGCCTGACAGGATTCATGTGCGCGGGGTCGGGAGGTTTAGAGCTTCGGGGTGCGCAGCTTTCAGGTTACGGCTCACTGCCAGTTATGTACATGTTTGACCAACCTGTCGGCGAATGAAACAATTCCAAGCTAGGAATGGTCCAGGTCCAAGGTCCTGGTTCGTGCCCAGGGCATTCCGGCCCTATGACGAGGCAGTCCCTTGACCTCAAAAACCGGTTGAGTTCATGGCGCGAATAGTTGAAGGTGCACTTTGCAAAAGTTGAGCTCTCTCGGCCCTAATGAACTGCAATTGACGAGGATGAAGTTGAAGAGCTTGCATCGAGGACCCCAACCAGGCGCGAAGCCAGTCCCTACATCCTCAAGCGTGCCAAAAACAATCTCCTTTTGCAAAATCAGTCGAAGGACAATTTATGCTGGATGCTGTACTCGTTTTGGGGCACACAATTTTGGAGATCATCCATCGGAATCGTTTTTGCAGTACACAGGGACTATTACTATGCTATACTGCACTCTACCAAGGGGACCCCTGCGCATTGCCAGTAGCATATCTGAACTAACTACAAGAGCAGAAAAAAAAAGTGCTTAACCATAGTGTTGGCAACACCTTTATCATTCAAAGCTCGGCCCAGTTGGGCTTTGAAGTATTTGCAGCTGTGGGTATCCAGGCTCCGAAGCCAGTCATGCAGGTCCCAGCCAACCAGCTTCTCAAAGTCTGCCCCAAACCCCAACTCAAAGAGCTTGACCCTCAGACCTTGTCTAAGGCTCAAGTTGCGAAACTTGAGCCCCAAACAGATTCCAAAGTCCTAGAGGACCCTGAAACATCGCAGACACCCTTCCTCTATCCTCCTGTGGCAGGACAGTATGAACTCACAAGTCAAGGACTATAAACCCAAAATCCTCCCTGCTTCACCCTAACTCCCAAACGCTAAACACTAATCCCCACGCCCCAAACTAAACCTAATCCTGGAGCCCTGACCCTAAACTCTGAGCCCGAAATCCTAAACGTAATGCCATTATCCCAATCACGAAGCCGCAAACTACAGACTCCAAATCCCATACCCGGCGCTAAAGCCTAAACCCCAAATCCGAAATGCTAGACTCTCACCCCTACATCCCTTTCATTAAACTCGAAAATCTCCAAACTCAAAATCCCCAAATCCTCAAGTCTAGCAGTAAACCAAAGTCCTAGAACCTAAATCCTAAAAGCCCTAAATCCCTAAATCCCCAAACTCCGGGCAAGCCTCGGCCAGGTTCGTAGGACGGATCTTAAGAAGCAGCGAGGGCCGAAGAGTTTTCGGCTTTCCTGGGAAGCAATGTTGCTTGGAGGGGCATGGCGACTAAGTAAGTAGGTGAATGATGGGGATAATTGGGGCTGTTTTTTTGGTACTTACTGAATCCCCCTGACCCTCCAAGTAGGTGTCAGGATTCTGAGTTGAGGAATGGGGGTTGGGACTTCTATAGGGTTGAGGGACCACAGGGTACTTAGGTCGCTGTGTTGGGGCTCGGGGTTTAGGGCCAAAAGTGCTGGGTGGCGGGGAATACAGCGAAACAATAGTTGCCATTAGTGGCGTTGAGATGTAAGGTTTAGGGATATAGAGTTCAGCAAGCACGCCTGATGTATACCATAGGACAGCCGCCTGAACAGTTGGAATCCTTTCTAGCGTACCGAACACTACAAGCAAAGACTGCAATTCACCAAGCATATTTCTCCTCCTCCAATGTGGCCTCTGATACAGCAAAGGCTCGTTTCACAGGCTGCTCAGGAGACGAATCAGCAACCTCAGGGGAGGCAGAGCAACCTAAGGAGTTTGTGAAATCGGGGAGGAGATAAAACAGGAATATATGGGGAATCACAGGACGATAAGAGGATGATGGAGGGTCACCCAGATAGATATACAGGGGCGCTTTAAGGAATTCTCTTAGAGTAGGGTTTACTATGGTTTTGGTGGTCTAGACTACGTGTAGAGCCCAAGAACTGTGAGGCATGGGGCATAGGGCCTGGTGTGTGTTTTTGCCAGCTCAGGGATTGTTAGGAATCAGCCAGATGAACAAGAAGAAACTCCATATAAAAAGAAACCTAGCCAAGTCATCTGGTCATTTGGGCCGTCTCAAGATGAAAGGTTCCGCTGCACACCCAGCAAGATGATCCCTCATCTTCATTGGGTGGGGATATATAGGGGATATGATGGGATAATGGAAAACAAAATGGAAACTACTATAATGGGTTATAAAAGGAATAGTCCAAACTCCTAATATCCCCCTTAATAATCCCTAGAATCCCTAGAATAGTCCCCTACATAACCCCCCCATATAACCCTCCTTTCAGGAGTCTAGACTATCGCCGTCAAAGTATTGGAGTCCTGACGTTGAGTATCCTACAGATCCCCAGATCCTCAGCTACTCCAGCCACCAAAACAGAAGCCCTAGACCTCAAGCTATTGAAACTTATACCTTACAAGACTTTCCCAAACCTACACTATTTGCACAACATGTTTAAAAGCCACTGCCTTGGTTCCCCTAGCCTGTATTCACATTTGCGTGCAACTTGACGTAGTAAGCTGACAGATCTTTCAGAAACTCAAGAACTCTGCGCGCTTTCAGGGCTCTGCGCGCTTTCAAGCCTAGAAGGCGTTGGGGCTCAAAGCTCGGGATGCTTTGGGTACCACCCTGTGCCCCGAACACTGTAGGGTCTGCATCACCGGATACACAAGCTGGGCAATTTCCGAAAAGCTCAGTAAGGAGTACAGACCTACAATTCTATGTAAGATTCAGTAAGGAAAGAGCAAGGCAAAAATGGGATCCTTGCTATGATTCTGATCTAACGGCCAGTAGATGGATGTCCGCCCAGAAACTGGCTGGGTCTTTGCCAGCCTTGCGCGAGCCTGGGTGGGGAATTGAGGGTTGGGAAGTTTCTAGGGGGCTGTAGAGCTTTGGGGCCTTTAAGGTGTTGTTTGGTCTTCGGGTTTGGGACGTCCGAGTCGTGGGGTCTTTTGTTTAGCTCTTTAGGGACCTCAAG